TGATCTTCCTGGAGCTGATTGTTGGCTGAGTCCTTGCCATTTTGGCTATTCTATCCATTTAAATGGTAGTTTTCGCTTTTTACCACGTCTTTCAGGTTTTGGTTGCCATTTTAAAGCATTTGCGATTATTTTAGCTGAGCAGCCTATCATCTTCTGCACTTCTTTATATGTTTTCCCATCTCCAATCAACTTTTTAATCCAGGTACGCTGTTCTTCTGAACAATGTCTGGAACGACCCATTTTCCTCAGAATTTCAGAGAGAAATGCACTGTAACCAGCATGTACAACATTTGCTGCCCTCCTTCCTTAAATAAGGGCAATAATTGCCACCTGTTTTTCAAAGAATGAATGACCTCACTAATAGAACTCCACACTGCTATTATTTTGAACATGCCCCTTTCAAGTAGTGATTCAATTACACAGAATCAGCAGCATGCATGTCATGACTGTTGGGTTTGTTGGATTTCTATTACTCTACTACACCTGCTAGTAAATTATTTGCCATGTAGAAATATCATTTCTGCCATAAATAGTGATTGATCAGGTTAGTGATGTCTGACTGCTATTATTTTGAACACAACTGTATATGTAAAGTGCTGCGTAAATGACAGGACTATATAAGTACTTAAAATTAATAGATAAATAAATAATTGGCAAGCAGATTGTACCTTTATGAAGACACATTTGTAAACTGGACTGTCATTTTGGTGCACTTTATACTGGGTATCCCACATTTGGCACTTAATACTTGTGGACTATTTTATGATGCACTTTTTACTTAACACTTTATATTTCGCACTTTACATTTGTGATTTTCTTTGTACATGAATTGTTGCATTATTACCTATTAGCGCTACATATTTCATGTTTTTAATTTTAAAATGTGGCCTACTCCAACTGCTGAAATGTTGTGTATGTAGTCTGCATAATATTTGTTCCTTTTTTTTGTTCCTTTTTTCTGTGATATTCAAACACTTAGATGTTGTTTTTGGGATGAAAATCTTCATGCTGCTTATTCCATTCAAAATGTACCATACTCTAGCTGCTTTGGTATGGCGCTGAACTTCAGGGTGTTATACCAGGATGATGCCTGCAGCTGAAGGCATCATCCTGGTATTATAAATTCCTAATAAACACCTGCGCTCAGTGACTGCAATTATTACCTAAATATCTAAAAATGTTAGCTGCTGTGTGTAACACTGTGTGTTTACATAAAATGTCTTCATTAATTACAGCACTTTAAACAAACAAACAACAATTGTGAAAAACACTAAATCATTAAATACCCACATGAAGACCAAGCATTTTCTGGAGCTGCTTGTATTTTTGCCCAGGTTTCCTCCTTTCTTCACCCCATAGCCAGGCACAAAGTATTTTCCACAGCCAGGTACACATACTTTCACTCGTTGTCTTCAATAACCAGTCTAGGGGATGAAGTTTTGGAGTTTTATTGTAGAACTAGGGATAGGGATTGGGAATTGTAGTAGGATACTCCAAAATTAGAACTATTCACACTGAGGACATCTAGCTGATCTCTTAATTGAGCACTGTTGAAGTTCCGGCTGACAGAAAATTGAAGATTTCACTTTAGCTTGTAGTAACAAGTAGTTTAGGAGTGAGCAAAGTCCCTTTAGCAGTAGCAGTACTTGCAGGGCTGAGTTCCTCAGGTACAGGCCTGTTACGGCAGACTGTGGTAGTCCAAAAGTAATAGAACTGAGCAAAGTCCTTTGCAGTAACAACAGTTGGACCAGCTCTTCAGAACACCAGCCCATGTTCCCTTTTTCTCTCAGACTCATGCTATCAAGCACCAGAGGGATAGCAAAGCACACAGAGTCCCCAATATCTCTCAGTGTCTGTACTCACAAGTCCAAGGACAGAATGGCAACCTCCTTCCAATCTTCCAAGCGACTCTCTCCAGTGATCCCAGACAGATCTTTGGCAGACAATTCCCTTCAGTCAGCTTACTGTGGAACCAGGGTCACTCTTCCTAACTTCAGGCCCTTAGGTCGCCCACCTGAGGTCCGCATGGCAGCAAGTTGGCAGGTGAGGCAAGCTTGCCTCCAACCTGGCTTGGTTCAATCCTCTCCCAGGAAAGACGCTAAACCCATGTGCTCACAGAACATAAACACCACTCCCAGCATGCAGTGGAGCCATCCTCCCCTGCAATTGGCCAGAGCTGTATCCATATTTATGCTGCTCATTTCACTAGTTCCCTCCAAGGTTCTGGAAGGCTCTCATAGCTTCCTGAAGGCAGGCAGAACTCAAGTCAAACTCAGCGGCACCAAAGCATCATGAGCAGACCTGACTAATCTATTACAGCACTGTGTTACACAGAGAGCCTAATTAGATTTACCTAACAGTCTCTCTGTTAAGCAGAGAAATACAGCTATACTTATCCTAACTATATAAATACTCTGAGAACCAGGGGTTTACCCCCTCCAGGTTGTAATCTTAGGTGTTGGATAGGAGAGGTCCTTATAGTAAAAGTCCTTTTCTCGTTAAGATGATGACAATCCCAGATGCACCCTTCTTCAATTTGCAAGGATAGAAGGGAAAGGGATTTGGGAATAGAGGGTTTGCCCTGATTGTAACTGTAACTGTAGCGACTTTTGACAATATTTCTCAACAGTAAAAATCCGCGTGAGGTATCTGGACCATTTTTCCATCAGGACCCTAGACATTGCTGGCCCACTGTCAGGGACATGTTGGCCGTGGCATAGCTGAGTCTCGTAGCCGCGCGTGAATGCTCAGGCGTGGGCCTGCAGGTGCTCATACTGTTGTGTGTGGGCGTCCACATATGCACAGCGTGCGTTCCTGGAAATGCGCATTGGCTAATTCTGGCGCCTATTGGCCTATATAGGTGCAGCAGCTGCACTAGTGAATTGCTGTCTGATCTGCAGCTCTCCCTGTGTTCCTGTGTCTGTTCCTGTATTGATACCCTTGATTGACCCGGCTTATCCTGACCTTGCTTGAACGCTACCTGCACTGACCTCGGCTTGCTTCTTGGATTCTGTCTCTGCCTACAGTATCTGCCTGATCCGCCTCTCTGCTGCTGACATTGGCCTGTAACATGACCCTTCTTATGCCTGCTGTTTATGCTTACCTGCACACCTGTTACCGACCCGGCTCGTCTGACCCTGCATCCAGCTTTGCCTGCTACCAGCCTGCTCCGCTGTGTCATCTGCCTGCTGTCAGCCTGCCTGCTACCAGCCTGCCTGCTACTGTTGCAAAAGGGCTTGTACATAAAGTCCCATATTGCTTCGTCACACCATGAATCCCTCTTGGACTCTATTTCCTCCTTGACCTTTCTTGGTACATAGGGATAGTCATACCTATGCTCCATGGCTACTTTCCACTGCATGATGCGCTGGAGGTGAGAGATTCTTGGTAGCTTTTGCCTGTCACCTCTCCCAGGTGGGGCATATGGTGTTGTGGCCTTTTGAATGAGGATGCTGTAGGCCTCGTTTTCAGCTCGAGCCTGAACATAATTTATAGGGGGGAAACAGATCAGGCTTCCAATTTGCATAAGCCTCACAGAACCCCAGTTTTTTAGTACACTGGACGGATGTCATCTTCCCTATCAAACAGGTCAGAACACTGGGAGCCCCCCTCCTCTGCAACCTCATGTACCCCTTCAGCTTCCTCAACTGGCTCCCAATCTCCTATCTCTTCTTCCAGTGATCCGTAGTGGTATTGGAAGCTGGGTGACCCCATATCAAGAGCTGGCTCCTCCTCTCCTGAAGAGCTCAAAGATGCTAGCATCTGATCTCTGTAGGCTGTTGCGACTTAGGTCCCCACTTGCAAGTGGTTAATAGTAACTGCTGCTGAGGCAACTTGCTGGGTAGGTGTCTCGCACAGAGACAATACTAGTCTCCCTGGTCTAGCAGATATTAGTACGGGTATGCACCGCTGGTCCCGGCCCCAGTGGCATCCATCTAGCTTCACTGTTTCCCCTGGTAGCTGAGCAGGAAGCTGCAGCAGGTGGCGCTTCTGTGCTGTACCCTGTTTCCCAATTCACTAATAGCACTTTAGGCTGGCAGTCACTATTCACCTGATCAAGCAGCATATCTCCTCAATGACCACACCGGCCCCAAGCATGCAGCTTCACAGTCATGCACTGACATCTGCCACATACCAGTCCCAAGCGGTCTCTGTTTTCTCTGCTGCGCAAGGCCAGACTCCCATAGAGGATCAAACGCACCCTGGTGTCAGTCAGCCATGCTGGAAGTTCACCACCTCTTAAGGCAGCTCTGGCAAGCACACATTGCTACTCCTCACATGTGGTCTTCTGTAAAGCAGACATTCTCCAAGCGGCATGCAATGGAGCCACCCTCCCCTGCAATTGGGCAGGGCTGTATCCATAATTATGCTGCTCAATTGCCTAGTTCCCTCCCAGGTTCTGGAAGGCTCTCATAGCTTCCTGAAGGTGGGCAGAAGGCAAACTCAGTGGCACCAGAGCATCATGAGCAGACCTGACTAATCCATCACAGCACTCTGTTAAGCAAACAGCCCAATTAGATTTACCTAACAGTCTCTCTGTTAAGCACAGAAACACAGCTATACTTGTCCTATACTTATACAAATCCTACCACCTTACTAGGATGGTGTTGCACAAGTTTAACCAATAGCCTACAGGGCACTTATACCCCCTTCCTGCCCAGGCCAATTTCCAGCTTTCAGCGCTGTTGCACTTTGAATGACAATTGGGCGGCCATGCAACTCTGTACCCATATGACATTTTTATCATTTTTTTATGACATAGCTTTATTTTGGTGGTATTTAATCTTAAACAAACCAAAAACCACTGAAAATTTTGAAAAAAAAAAAAAAACATTTTCTTCTTAGTTTTTGTTATAAAATTTTGTAAATAAGTGATTTTTCTCCTTCACTGATGTGCGCTAATGAGGCTGCAGTGATGGGCACTGATAGGCGGCACTGATGGACACTGATAGGTGGCACTGATGAGGAGGCACTGGTAGGTGGCATTGATGGGCATTGACAGGCATCACTGATGGGCACTGAAAGGCAGCACTGATATATGGCACTGATAGGCGGCACTGATAGGTGGTACTGATAGGTGGCACTGATAGGCGGTACTGACTGGCATTGATAGGCGGCACTGATTGGCACTGTTAGGTGACATTGACTGGCACTGTTAGGTGGCACTGATAGGCAGCACTAACAGGCGGCAGTGACTGGCACTGATAGGTGGCACTGATTGATTGGCAGCATTGATAGGTGGCACTGATTGGCATTGCTAGGTGGCACTGATGGGTGACACTGAAAGGCAGCTCAGATGGGCACTGATATGTGGCATTGATGTGCACTGGTAGGCACTGATATGTATCATTGATGTGGCACTGATGGGCACTGGCAGGTGGCATGGATGAGCACTGAGAGTTGGCACTGATAGACACTGAAAGGTGGCAATGCTGGGGCAACACTGATCATCAGGGCACACTGATCATCAGTGCCCTGATAATGATCAGTGCACATGTCCCCTCCGAGGAATGCCGATTACCGGCTCTCCTCACGAGCTGTCAACATGACAGCTCGAGAGGAGAGAAATGCAGATAATCGACATTTCCCTGTTTACATGCAATCAGCTGTGATTGGACACAGCTGATCACATGACCGAGCCGACATCTTCGGCTCTTTCCGTGGATCGGTGATCCGCTGTATCTGAGAGACACAGCGCACCGCCGATTGCCGCGATGCGTGCTCCCGGAGCCGCGCATGCGCGGTGAGAATGGGAGGACGTCATATGACATCATCCCAGAATGAGAGAACCGCCTTGCGTCCGTCATTGAACTATATGGTGGGCGAGAGGCGGTTAAATCCGTATTTTTTACTAGAAAATTACTTATAACCCCCAAACAATTTTTTTTTTCAAACGCAATTTTTTGGGAAAAAATACACTATAGTGAATTTAAAAAAAAAAAACAAAATATATACCCCAATTTTTTGTAAAATATGAAAGAGGAAGTTACAATGAGTAAATGGATACCTAACATGTCACGCTTCAAAATTGTGCACATTTGTGGAATGGTGACAAACTACAGTACTTAAAAATCTCCATTGGCACAGCTTTAAAAATGTTTACAGGTTACCTGCTTAGAGTTACAGAGGAGGTCTAGATCTAGAATTATTGCTCTTGCTCTAATGCTCGCGGCTATACCTCACATGTGACTGTTTACCTATGAGTGCGCAATTTACATACGTATGCGTTTACATATGCAAGCGGGATTTACGTATGCATTTGCTTCTGCAAACCCTATGTTTTATTTGTGTGGGGTTTTTTTTTACACTGTCCCTTTATTTTTTTTTTCTATATCGCTTTTATTCCTAAAAATTGGAACTTTTGCTTGAAAAAAGAAAAAAAAAATGGTTTACATGTGCCGCTGACCGGAAGTGGCGTCATGACATCACTCCGGTAGTCCATCATGATAGAGGTGCTCAGAGTCTCTCATCACCTCCATCTTCAGCCGGCTGGGCTACACAGTAGGATCATTTCTTGAGCCCTCTGGTTTTAACGGTAAGCCAGAGAAACACCGGCAATCCCCCCCTCTCGTCGCTACAGAAAGCAATCCAGTGGCTGGATCACTTTCAATAAAAAAAATACTGGGGTTATGGCTGATTTTCCTCAGCCATAACCCTGGTAAACCAAAAAATAATTGCAACATTTATATACATATTACAGTCGCCAAGTGGATATATAATATCCCATGTAATGCAACTTTAAATAAAAGCATCCATTAATAAATAACGTCCTTTAAGTGTTATTTTCAGCTATTGTTTATCTTGTGCAATACAATTGAAAAAGTTGCAAACCAAATACTTTTAACCATAAAGTGTCCTTCAAAAAGTGCTCTCTTGTTCAGCAGTGAGCCACCACATGCGAAAACTCACCGGACAGAATTGACCCCCTGCTAGAGTAGGTCAATCAGCGCTTTCCCCCATGGGGTTAATCATCCAAGGTACCACCTGTCCTTTCTCTCACCACGATCAGGGATTTAATAAAACAGAGGAGATAAAGGGCTCCAATAGTGTAAAAAACATTTTTTTTTATTTAGGAGACATATACAACTTAAAAGCCATAAGCTATCATGCTCACATTTGACTGTGCGTTCCACCCTGCACCTGGGTTATGACGCATTTTTATCATACAACACTGGCTTCACTGTGACAAGCGCAAGCCCTGTTATTGCCTCCGATTACTTGGACCTCTCACCACAGCTGGGTGTCTCCAACGGACCATTGTTCCTTCCTGTAAGCCTGCCTCGAAGTACGTTTTATCATATCACCATGAACGCCAGACTGAGGGCAGTAATTCTAGCATCAAACCTCCTGTGTAAATCTAAAGTGGTAACCTGTAAAGGCTCTAAAATGTTGTCTGTGCATAATAAAATGTACTTTGTTTGTCGATGTTGCACGGCTGTGCACAATTTTGAAGCATGACATGTTTGGTATCTACTTACTCAGCATAACAGCACCTTTAAATTTCACCAAACAATTGGGTATTATATTGTGTTTTTCTGCATCAAAATTCAAAAAGTGTACTTTTCCACCAAAAAATGTAGTTTGAAAAACCGCTGCACAAATACCTTGTGTCATAAACAAATTGCAACATCTACCATTTTATTCTCTAGGGCTTCTGCTTTAAAAAATATATAATCTTCAGATATTCTAAGTAATTTTCTATCCCAAAATACTGATTTTTACATGTAAACAAAAAGTGTCAGAAAAGGCTTGGTCTTAAAGTGGTTCTAAAGGCTCAAGGTTTTTTACCTTCAAGCATTCTATGCCTGAAGGTAAAAATCTTCTATATGCAGCATCCCCCCCAACCCCCCCCCCAATGCTCACCTAAGCCCCCTCTTGATCCAGCGATGTGCAATGGAGTCTCGGCTATCACGGGACTCCCTCTCCTCATTGGCTAAAACAGAAGCGAGAGCCATTGGCTCCCTCTTCTGTCAATCACAGCCACTGAGGCAATGAGAAGAGAGAGAGGGCGGGACAAGCCACAGCTCCATGTGTGAATGGGCACATGGTGTGGTGCAGCGAGTTCCCCCATAGCAAGCTGTTTGCTGTGGGGGTACCCGACAGGAAGGAGGGGCTAGGAACGCTGGTGGGGTCCCGAGAAGAGGACAATCCGGGCTCCTCTGTGCAAAATCACTACACACAGCAGGCAAGCATAGACATATTTTGTTGTGTTTTTTTTCTTGAAAAAAAAAGCCTAGAATCACTTTAAAGTGGATATAGATGTAGATAATAGAAGCCTGGATATGAGTAAGAGGGTTAATTCAGGTCAAGCTAGAGGATGCTACAGGTCAGCCCTCTGATACCTCCCCCTGCTCTAGAAGCTTGGAGAAGCTTCTAGTAGTCAGTAGGCGGAGGTGAGGATGAGCTGATATGCATATTTGTGGAAGGCTGACCAATCCCAGGCAGGAGGCCTGGCAGTGGGGCAGGCTGGCCCATGAATATGACAGAGCCTGGCCAGCAGAGGAGTCAGGTGCAAGATGGAGCACTGAGGTATGCTGCTGTGTAGCCTGGGAGGGGGCCCTGGAGAAGGGGGTTCTGCCTCTATGCTGGAGTTTGGAGAAAGGAGGAAAGCTGAAAGAGGAAGCTGCACTGCCCTGCAGTCCACCAGGGAAGGACAGCCTGCACAGCCTGGAAAAGAACCAGCCCAGCGGAATGCCTGAAAGCAGTTCTATCCATAGCTGCAGAAAAAGGACAGTGTGAGTACCTCTGCACCCCCAGTATCTATAAGGGAGAAGTCTGCTACATGCAAGTTCTTGGCAAGCCTACAGGGGACAGTTTATTGCTTACCCAATCCCTTGCCTTGGGACCAGATGGGCTGGTATCTCTTTCATTAAGGGGACCTAGAGCTCCTAAAAGTTGGGATTTTTTGCTAAAATCCACCCAGGGACACCAGATTCCTAGGAGGGGATTATCTTCTAAAGACTCTTGCTGTTCCAGACGGAATACAGTCAAATGGTTGTTGCTGCAGTATGCTAGAGAAGGAAGTTGTCCTCAGTTTTGTTGTTCATCAAGTCAAATTGGTCATCCCATAACTACTTTTCCCAATGAAAGTGGAAATCCCTATTAAGTACTAAAAACCAAGCCCTGTTTCTTTGTGTCTGGATACAAGTTGGAAAATGCATGTTCCTTGGCTGTACAGGAAATAAGGGGGATGCAAAACCAAAAAGGGGGTAGTGCTGCTCACAGTATTTATAGCCTTTGTCCTGTCAAGAATACACTCTAAATTTTAATTCTTAATAAAAATTGCCTTGTCTCTCCTTACTCCATTGTGGCCTCGAAAAAACCACATGCATTGTACATGATGTGCAAAAAAACCCAAAAAACTTCTATTTTGTGCAACCTAATGCCCATCGATAACAGCAACAACAAAACAAATACTATTACAAACACTAAAGTAGTGCTTACTCTGTTGGGGCCGCTCTAGTATGTCCAGGTCTAATTTCAGCCCATAGCCAGGCACAAGGCAGTTTCACAGCCAAGTGCACACACACTTTCACTTGTTGTCTTCAGTGATCAGTCTAGGGGTTGTTGTTTTTGTTGTTTTGTATGTGGAGAGCTTGGATAGGGATACTCCAGGAATAGAATAAATGCAGTTGAGGACAGAACATTCATAAGTAGCAGCCTTGAGTAAAGTCCTAATGTTAGGGTAGGATTAAATGGACAGTGCTCTTTAGGACACCAGCCCATATCCCCTTGTTTCAGACCCAAGCTGACTATAAAGCACCAGAGGGGTACAAAGCACACAGAGTACTCAAAATTCCACAGTGTCTGTACTCAAAAGGTCCAAAGGCAGAATAGTAGCCAATCTTTGAAGTGATGCCCTCCAGTGATATTAGACAGGTCTTTGGCAGACAGTTCCCCTCAGTCAGCATACTGAAGAACCAGGGTCACTCTCTCTCACCTGAAGCCACATGGCAGCATACTCTCTCCCAGCATTCCTCAGGGCTGCATTCCCTGAGGTTGGCTGGAGTGGCAATAATATTCATACTGTGTTCTGCATAAGTTCCACCTATACATTTAGAACGTTCCTAGGTTACTTGGATACAGGAAAAGCCAGGGGCTGAACTTGCAGGAATTGAAAACACTGAACAAGCACTACTAAACAATTGCAGCTCTCTCTATTAAGTAGAAAGCGTAATTAGACAGAGGAACCAACTATAATTTACTTATCCTAGCACCCATCTAGGAGGGTACTACACATAGTTTGTCTGGCTGAAAAAAACAAAAGTCCATCTAGTTCAGCCATAAAAAAAAAAGTTATATTCCTATACCCACAGTTGATCCAGAGGAAGGCAAAAAAAAACCTAGCACAGCATGATCCAATTTGCTTCAGCAGGGGAACAAA